CATTTAATGTGTTGTTTTTGGTGCTTAAAAAAAAAAAAGGTGCTCAAACTAAAAGGTTCCAGTGGAAAACAGTAGGTTAAAATCTGCTGCTGTTTAGGAAGGGACACAAAGATGTGAAACTTTTCTTGAGACGGTTCACTGATCCCTGAACTGCATTTAACCTTTTGTTTTCATTTTACCAAATTATTAACTACTTCCATGGAGCAACGCTTAATTTTGTATCTAAACTACGATTAAAGTGAAATAAACGGTATAGATACTTTAAAATTTGTGATGCCACGAACCTGTCTAAAAAAAACATTAGTTTATTAAATTCTTGCAACAATTTTGTGTCACCAGATCTCCAGATAATTGGAATTTCTGTAAAAATGGATCAACATGTGTTAATAAAACATTTGATTATTTAGGGGTGGGTCCAAATAATTTACACTCACATGTGTAAGACATTTTCCACAAAAACAATACAATATCTATTATGAGCAGATATAGTCAATCACAGTTAGTTGTGTGTAGTTTTAAAAGCAAAAGTCAAATATACTTGCCCTGAAAACATCAATGAAGCTAGATTCTTGATAAATATCACTCAAACGCAGTCTCTTGGCTTTTTCGTACACAACGGGCGACTTTCCTTTTGAATGCTCCATGTCTGTCTTCCCTCCACTCTTTCTGTTGAGAGGAAATAGATAAGAAGATTTTAGTTGCTTTACAGACTATATCACCCATCTCCATTTTGTAAAAGTACTTCTTTTAATATTGTTTACACTGCTCATTCAATTACAGTAAAATTTACAGGACCCACAGTGCGAGTTGTAGTGTTCACTTGATCAAACTTCAATTAAACCACAGTTCAACGTCATATTGCAACTATCACAATAGGTTGTTCAAATATTTTTCAAATGAACCCAAAAACAGCACAGTACAGCTAATATTTATTCATTTAATGTAATTTCATGAATTTTGTGATTTATAAAAGATGCCAAGTATGAATGTTATTTTAAACACAAATGCACCTTCAAACCCTAAAAACAACTTACTGCTGCGTCCACATTGGCCGGTGAATCCCCGTTTGGGTCTGCCAGCATAGAGATAACACTAATCATGATGGTCTCCACAGTGTGGATGGGCAGCCAGCGCTCCTCTGGTTTCTCATAGCCGTACTTATCTTCTCCAGGCTCGTGCAAAATAGAAATGCATACATCTCCATTCTTGTCAACTGCAAATAAAAACATAATTGACTAAATTATTAGAATAATTTTGAAGCAAAGAAAGACTACACTAACTTGTGACTAATATACAAACCGGATTCCAAAAAAGTTGGGACACTAAACAAATTGTGAATAAAAACTGAATGCAATGATGTGGGGATGGCAAACGTCAATATTTTATTCGTAATATAACATAGATGACAGATCAAAAGTTTACTCTGAGTAAATGTAACATTTTAAA